AGTCATCACTCCAGGTAAGTAGCCATAGATTAAAAATTAATGACTTAATTTTAATAATATGACATGGTATGGTATGGATATACCATTGATTACATGATCATTCTCCTATAGGTAGATACTTCCGTTTCCTTTTTTGTCTCTACTAACAATGCCATGTTGCTTTAGTCCGTATATCCTCTTGATGCTTTTGTGTGTTCTGTTGGGGTGGTCTCAAAAGTAGAACTGTTGGGTTAAAAAACCTGTATTATTTCATTTTAATAAATGCCACATTTTCTAAAGAACTGCAGAAATTTACATTCCCACCAACATGTGAGTTTGCAGGTATGTTTCCTCTCTTCCTCCCTGTGACTTCAACTTTTTATCTAGATGGCCACAGGCTTTCATACCTTCAGAGAACTTTACTGGGTTGTGTTTCATTGCTGATCACTTGTCAGTATTTCACCTGGCACACCTTCGTTCTGTAAAATTATCTTATTTCTCCAATATTTTGATTACATCTTCAAATCTTTGTTCCATTTCTTTGGTTCTCTTCTCCTGCTATGTGTTGGTTTTCCTGTGTCTGACTTCTGGATCTGTCATTTTCCTTTCTTTGCTCACTTTTATCTTGCCCTCTAAACTCCATGTCATATTTTCAGCCTCTTCTCTGTTGTGTTGTTTTCAATAGGACCTTTCTTTCTATGATGCTTTTTAATTTGATTAGCCACATTTCAGGTGCTCAGGACCTACATGTGACCAGCACCAACTGTCCTGGCATCACAGTTCTAGAATTGGACTAAAGGCTTGGGGTTCTGTGGACTTGACTTGCTCCCTTATTCTCCATGGTGCTCCAATCTCTCAGGTAGAGAGATAGAGATCTTAGAGATCTCCAATCTCTAAGGCTCTGAAGAGATTTCCCAGAGGGACAGAAGGTACTCACTAGAGGATCCCACTACACAGTCTATTTGGCAGGTATGTTCTTCAATTAATAAACTGGCATTCCTTGTCAGTTGTCCAGCCCAATTCTGTTTTCAAAGACAGTGACTAGATGGGATATCTGAAAGCTGCAAAGTTAAGGGAGGCTCTTGGGACCTTGCTGGCTCCACCAAGTGCTGACCCACACTCGAGTACTCAGCTGGCCCTGGTTAATGCCACACTCTGGTCTGTGCTAAACCCAGAATGTGAGGAGACTAAGTCTAAGCAATGTCTCTGAGGAGACCAGACAAGAAGGACCAGATATTCTGATATTGGTAGTCAGGCACAACAGAAAGGGATTCCTAAGAGTACTCATTTCAGAAGGAATTGAGAGTCCATTCCCTTCTTTAAACTGAGTGTGGGTTTCTGCTGTTGTATTATGGCGCCACCTCTTGGAATGTAAACTGAAAATCTAGCCTCATAAACTTTGTCTCTAGTCACAGGCATTAAGAAAGTCTGAAGTGGGGGCCCATGATGGGTTCTAATATTTTTATTCTGTCTTATGGTTAAGGGACTACCTAACTGAATGTCCAGAATCTGTAAGAGGGGGATACTGGCACCTGAAGCCCAGAAAAGTACTGCCTCCTAAAGTGAGTCTTTCAGTTCAGTTGCTCAGTCATGTCCGACTCTTTGCGACCCCATGAACCACAGCACGCCAGGCCTCCCTGTCCATCACTAACTCCTGGAGTTTACCCAAACCCGTGTCCATTGAGTTGGTGATGCCATCTAACCATCTCATTCTCTGTCGTCCCCTTCTCCTCCTGCCTTCAATCTTTCCCAACATCAGGGTTTTTTCAAATGAGTCAGCTCTTCGCATCAGGTTGCCAAAATACTGGAGTTTCAGCTTTAACATCAGTCCTTCCAATGAACACCCAGGACTGATTTCCCTGAGGATGGACTGGTTGGATCTCCTTGCAGTTCAAGGGACTCTCAAGAGTCTTCTCCAACACAATTCAAAAGCATCAATTCTTCTGTGCTCAGCCCTCAGTCCCACTCTCACATCCATACATGACCACTGGAAAAACCATAGCCTTGACTAGATGGACCTTTGTTGACAAAGTAATGTCTCTGCTTTTTAATATGCTGTCTACGTTGGTCATAACTTTTCTTCCAAGGAGTAAGCATCTTTTAATTTCATGGCTGTAGTCACCATCTGCAGTGATTTTGGAGCCTCCAAAAAAAGTTAGCCACTGTTTTCCCGTCTATGCCATGAAGTGATGGGACTGGATGCCATGATCTTTGTTTTCTGAATGGTGAACTTTAAGCCAACTTTTTTACTCTCTTCTTTCACTTTCATCAAGGCTCTTTAGGGAGTCTTTAGCTGTTTGGAATTTTAAGCACTCTAAAGGTGCCACCCACATGCTCTGGTTCTCTCCATCCCCCAGCTGGCAAACTAGTGAGGAGGAACTCATGGCAATCGGGAATTCAAGCTCCCTGTTTCTGCCCCTATTTTGGTCAGTGTAGTGTAGACAAAGCACCTAGCAGTGTCTGGCAAGCAGCAGGCACCCAAGTTATTTACTATTCTTAATTAAATCATTCTTGCACGAGTAATTATCATGTATTAAAGTGGGGATGATAGATTACAGATGCATTGCTAGACCACCATGATATTATTCACCAGAGTTGGATAAGTATCTTTCAGACCTTGTTCATGGGCTGCCTGAAAGGCTGGACCCTCAGGACAACAGACAGGAGAAGAAACACAGCAGTCACTTAAATTTAATGGGGGGAAGGCAGAGCTATAATCATGTTATCTGATACATGTTAGAGGGGCTGGGGGTTTTGTATCCTTGTCTTAGGTCACTGGGCCTGTCTTAATGTTCTTGGAGGAAAAACAAGGCCAAGCTTAAGAAAGCTGCATTAACTACACTTTCACATCAGGTCAAGGTGCCCAGGCCTTAGCTGTGATTGTTATTAATGGGGAATAGCCCTGTGCAGGTCAGGAGAGCACAGACTGCTAAAGGCAACCTTGTTTGCTGAGGAAGAAAGGGAAATCATGTCCCCAAACACAGCTCCTGAACCAGTTCCTACCTCTGGCAACCGCTTTTGATGACTGGATGTTCTTTTTTCAAAAGATACTGTGCGTTTCTCAAAAAAAAAGTGACCAGGCAAAAACGTTCCTATGTTAAAATTTGACTATTTAAATAGATGATCATGGTGGATGTTACTCCTATCCAGACTCCCATTTCTGTAACTTTTCCTAATTTGTATTCAAGTACCTCCGCCTCTCTGCTCTCTCCTCTGTTTCTGTTTAGGCTGAACCAATCTCCAGCTCTAGCATGGACCTTGATTAGTGTAAAACACTGAGAGTAACTCTCCTCAGTAGTCACTGGTTTAGGCACCTTGTGTTACAACCTGGCATTCCCTGACAATAGGGGCTGGTTTAGAAACTTCGTGTGACCTGATGTGGGCTGAGATACAAGGAGAAGCTGATGGAGAGCTTTTGGAAAAGAAATACCAAAGCTCTTGTGAGAGGCCCTTTTTCCTACTGGAGGGGGTGATAGGTGGATGAGAAGCCCGAAAATTGCTGCCTTTTTGCCTCCAAGAAGGAAGTGAGCCTGAGGGTAAAGCTGGTACTGCTGAAGTGAGTCAGGAAGGAAAGTAGGTGGGTCCTTTATGACATCACTGAGCTGCTGCTGAGTCAAACCAACCCCTAAGTAAACCCTGCCTCTGAGACTTTTCAGGTATGTGAGCTAATAAATCCCTCCATTGCTTAAGCCAGATGAGTTAGGTTTCTGTTACTTATCAGGGAAAGCATCCCAACAAACAGGGATTCATGTAAAGACCACAGGTAAAAAAATGCCTGTAGCACACACACCAGAATAGTGTTGAAAAACAACAGAAAGGATTCTGAAGCCAAGACCACGTAAAGCAGAGCACATTTGGGAGCAGACGGCGTGAGAGAAGGCAGCTGAGTGCAACCCGTGTTCTGCCCTTTACTCTGATTTTGGATGAGCTACCTCACTGATTGTCTTTGGTTCCTCTCAACAAAATTAAGTTGTACTGGATGAGTGGCTCCCAGTTCTTTTACCATTCATCATTTTTATTATTGGTCCTTTTAGTGGATTTTATATTTTTAAAGACTTTTGTCTATCAGATTTTTCTCATGTACTTAGACAAAGCAGAAAACTGCAAATCAACTCTTCCATCAGCAAAGGTAGTAATTAGATTACCTTAAATAATTGCTATAATTTGTATTGGACATTTAAAAACAAGATATTTATTATTAGTTTTTGAAGCCTCAATATAGATATGACTTCTGACAGGACAGACTTTCACAAGTATTGAAAACAGTTTCCAGATCTTCTGTCTTCTTTTGAAGATCTTAGGAGATTACCATCCAAGGAGGAAAATTAACATGAAATTACAAATCTTTTTTTTTTTTTTTGGCTTGGTTGTGTTCCACTCATGTGATCGGAGTTTCCTGACCAGGGATTGAGCCTGGGCCATGGCAGTGGAAGTGCTAAGTCCTAACCACTGGACTACCAGGGAACTCTCTAAACTGCAAGTCTTGACTGTTCTTACTTTTTAACAAAATGCTCAACAGAAGTTTAAAAAGACAAAAAAAATGTTGTATTTACATTAAAGTGAAAGTTGCTCAATTGTATTTGACTGTTTGTGACCCCATGGACTACACAATCCATGGAATTCTCTAGGCCAGAATACTGGAGTGGGTAGCTGTTCCCTTCTCCAGGTATCTTCCCAACCCAGGGGTTGAACCCAGGTCTCCTGCATTGCAGGTGGATTCTTTACCAGCTGAGCCACCAGGGAAGCCCAAGATTGCTAGAGTGGGTAGCCTATCCCTTCTCCAGTGGATTTTCCTGACCCAGGAATCGAACCAGGGTCTCCTGCGTTGTAGGTGGATTCTTTACCAGCTGAGATACCAGGGAAGCCATTTACATAAGCATTTTAAAATATAAAGTGACACTATGAAGTAGTGTGACAGGTTTCCTCTGTCACTTTTAAACTGGATTAGAAGGCAGTCCCCAGAATTCCAGTATGAGTAACATGTCCCGAGCTGTTTGGGATCAGGGATTTGAGAACCTAAGTTCCATGTCCAGTACTTTTAATCTTCATACTTCTTGAGTCCTGTTCTTACTAAATATATTTACACATTCTGTGTATTTTAACAGTCTCTCCATCATTAGCAATAAAAAAAGTTTCTCAAGGACGTACTTTTCGTTTCTTGCTTTTATTTCTTTTCAACTTGCTTTTTCAATTTCTCCAAGATCTCTTCTGGAGGTGTGGAGGCCAAAAGCTTCACCACTTTTTCACGAGATTTACCACCCTGGACCAAAAGGAAAAACCAGTGTCAGGACAACACACTAAACTTTCTACTGCTATTAGTGACAGCAGACTTCAGTTGCTGAGGATATGCCACCGTGTCCTTGTGGGGCTGTCACAGGTGGGCTAGTATTCCTGGTAGCTCAGTACCACTTTCTCCTAGCCATTTCTGGTCTATCCAGTTAGTTTCCGGTTCAGTACTGTTTTTCTTTTCTTTTTTTTAAACAATTCCCCAGAGGTTTTACCTTTATACATCAATTTTCACAGTAATAAAAATTAGGCATTTTCAAATTGAGTATAGAATCTGGATGTACAATATTCTGTTTTCAACTAATACTTTTATTTTTAAATTACCAAAACAAATATTGCAATTTAATATAAACTGATTAAAAATAATTCTAAATATAGAACTGCTATTCCCTATACTGTTACACATTTCTGAAAATACCAAACAAAAAGTGACCACATACCCAAGTGCTATGATCCCACAACCAGTTAAGACAACTATAAGGATTTGTTTAGAAACCTCCTTTAAAGAAAGTAAATTCTAAGCAGGTATTCATCTAGAGGGGCAGAAGCGGCACAGGCGGAAGCGCGGGGAGGGTGTTTAGGCTGATGTCAGAGCACGCGCCTGGTAGAAACTCAGAGACGACCTGCTGTGCAGGAGATGTGGAGGGGCATGGGCCTGATCCTACGAATGCTTAGGGGCAGCCTCCTAATCAATGACCCAGTGCCCACTGGATCCTGGATGGGAGCTACGGAATATAGCACTGGAAAACAAGCAGAGTTGTAAGAAACATAAGCTTGGGTGGGTCTTACTCCTGCAGATTCTATTTGAGTAACTCTGGGGTAATGTCCAGGAACCTGTGTTTTAGAAATCATTCCCAAGTGATTTTGATTGCCACCTCTAGTGCAGACTCTTCTAGTGCAGAAGTATTAATGACTTCGTATGAGCCATCTCTTTAATGAGCGTCTCCCAGTGATTGAGGACATGTTGGACCAGATGTGCTTGATTGACTCACTAATGGAGATTACCAACAACAGGAACCATTTTAGATGTTTCTACTAAGGTGATGAGTTGAGGGAAGAGACAAGCATTTAACCTGACAGAGCAGGTACAGGCATGAACTCAGAAGGACTAAGGCATTTGGGAGGAAGGGGACTAGGAAGGAAGAATTATAGATTTTTGGTGATTAAATGTATACAAGAGTTAAAAACAACTGGTTTTTCAATTATTTTGAAAAGAAAAAAATTGGTGTTTTAAAAGTAATGACTGATGTAGTACTCAAAGATGTTGAGAGAAAGAGAGGCCTACCTTATCCAAAACCACATCACTCTTCCTGAGTTCTAAGACTTTGGAAAGATAGCGACACAGCTCTGCGTTAGCCTCTCCCTCCGTCGGAGGCGCTGCGATGGCTACACTCACAGCCTCGGTCGTCACGTCTGGAACGAGAACAGATTCTCATAGGGTACCTTTTCTTCATGAAGGGATATCTTGTAAAAGCTTCTGCATTTGTCTGGCATATAGTACGTACTCAGTTAATAGCTGCTGAATGAACAATGACAAAGCTCATCACAGTTAAGGGAACATAAACATGCCACTTCCGTCAGAGATTAAGGGAACATAAACATGCCACTTCCGTCAGAGAAACCCAGAGAAGAAAATTGGTTTTCACCTGCTGACCAAGGTGGGCCCACAGAGTCCTGGGCAATAGTCTGGAATTAGGAGCTGGAAACTGCGCCTGGTCTGATAGGAAGAGCCCCTGGCAAGGAGACAGGGGAGCTGGGCTTTAGCCCAGCAGTCACTGAGAAGTGAATGAAGGAGGTAGATCACAGACTGTACAGGGCTGTTCAGTTTCCTCATCAGGGAAGTGGCAGCACTGCGTTAGGTTCACCTCAGTGAAATGCCTCTCTGATGTTTTTAACATGTATTTACTTAGTGAACAGCTACATAGCACTTACACCAAGTTTAAGGGCACACACACACATTTTAAGGGCTTTACAAATAATAACTTGCTTATTCCTATAGTTTATCATCTCCATTTTACAAATGAGGAAACTGGAACCAAGAAGTAATATGTTCAGGGTCACATGGCTATAAAGTGATGTGATTCAAAAATAAATTTGAATTCATGCTTTGAAATCCAGGGACAATGAACACTGCTTTCTGAAGTGGTGCAGGCTTCCTCATCAATACAGCCTTCATAAAGAGCAACCTGCCTGCAGTCCTCCACTGTCATTTCTGAGAGGAGTATATATTCAAAGCAGTTTGCAAAAGAGCTTGAGCTAGTCCTGCATCTGGGGTTACCTGGGCATTTCCACACCCATACATCTCACCTGTGTAAACATGGTCACAGGATCCACAGGAATAAGATGGTAGAACAACCCTTCTCCTATCCTGTCAGATTCTATAATTCAGTTTTTCACATTTTAGTATCTTTGAAATCCAGGTGTATCTTATAACAGATGGGAAAGAAAACATTTAGTTGATGTGGATTTTGTCTATCTTACTGGTACAAAAAGTACCTGTGTACCTTACAGTTGATGGCCAATTATATCTGATGAAACATGGCATTCCAACAGTAAGTAGAGACAGCGTCCACAGTGACTACTTAGAAAATGCCGACCAAGGAGGGTACAGCCAACACACAGCTACACTAACATGGCCATAAGCACAAACCAGGCCCAGCACCCCAATTCTGAGGTCTTGTTTTCCAAATATTTTAAAAACTGGAATACAGAGCTTTAGTGGGTGACAAAGACCATCAATAATACTCAGATCAGTGCTTTTCAAACTTTTTTCCCCACTCAGAATCCCCCACCTCCACCAATTTCCCCTGAAATTCCCACATTTAAAGCAAATGTCAACAGTTCTTCAGGAGTCCTCTCTGCTGACCTCCCCTGTGCCCACCAGAGATCCTGGAGGAAACTTTTGGGGTCCAAGGAATAGCTTAAAAGCTTCTAACAGGCCAACTATCTCATTTGACAGATGAAAGAACTGGGCACAGAAATATTTCGTATAGCTTTGACTGAAAACAAGCTCACACAGGTGTTGATCATCAGGTTCTCTCCCTCCTTGGACCAATTATCATTAAAAAATCAACTGAAACACCTTCCTTTCTCTGGATAATGTTTGCACTTTCGGGAACAGGACAAACTAAGAATCATCTAGGTTACATACATTTCTGTATAAGTTCTTTCTAAAATACCTTTTTAAAAATTGAGGTATGACTGACATAGAACAGGTGTACAACATAATGATTCAATATTTGTATTTTGAACTGATCACAATATAGGTTAATAAAATATTAAAAAGGACAGTATTCAGTGGTTTTTAATCTAACTTGGTATGCTTTAAATATGGTACACGTATTCACTTTTAAGCACTAGAGTACACCTTTACATTAAAATTCAGAATTTAAAAATGGAGGAGCCTCTAACTGCAGATGTGAAAAATATACTTGACCATACAGGATAAATTTTCAGCAAACTAAGGCAAAAGAAGGATGGAGCAGGGGACAACTTATTCATACAAGATCCCTACCCCAAGGTCCAAGTATACCTGTCACAGCATTTTGTTTGGAACCAGGTTTGGCATGGATGGCTATGCTGACACCGCCTTTAGGATCAACTGTCACAGGACCTAACGGAGGAAGTGGTCTCTCTGGTTCCTTGCTCTGGCTTTTACCCTAAAACGACAAGAACAACCACACTACAGCTTCACAGCTTACAAAATACTTTCCCAAGCATTTGATCCTTCCAGGATTCCTTTTCACCCTTAACCAAGGCAAATTAGGCTGATTAGTCATGTCCAGGGATTTCTGGTCACCTAGAATGGTCTTCCAACATCTTTCATGGCTCAAATAAATTCTTCCACAAAGCCTCCCCATCAACTCCACAGTGTTTTTTTCCTGCCATGGTAAACCTTAGAGCCGGTTCTTTTGCATTTCCCATTCCTCAGGGGCAGCGACTGTTCATTATTAATCTTTGTATTTCAATCAGGACAATTTAAAGGTTTCTGAACAACCACGGCTGGAAGTGTATATGTGGGAGGGGAGGGGGGGCCGGAGAAAAAAGGAACAACAGTGGTATTTAAAGGACTTATTGTTATTTAGCCGTTAAGTCGAGTCCGGCTCTTTGCGACCCCATGGACTGCAGCCCGCCAGGCTCTTCTATTCATAGGATTTCCCAGGCAAGAATACTTGAGTGGGTTGCCACTTCCTTCTCCAAGGGATCTTCCCGACCCAGGGATCGGATCTGTCTCCTGCACAGGCAGGCGGACTCATTGCCGCTGAGCCACCCGAGAAGCTGATTTAAATAACTACTATACTAGGAACTACTATAAGCTGAATTAGGAACTTTCCACTCGACAAACAAACTGCGCACCAGGGCGGTGTGGAGGAGGCAAAGGATGCGTAAAGATGAATAAGGACACATGGCACTTGCCCTCAAGGAGCCCGGACTGCGGACTGGTACGCTATGCTAGGAGGCCGACCTCACACCCACGGGGCATCAACGCGCAGCGGAGGAGGAGGCAGTTCGGCCTCGGGACGCCGGGAAAGCTCCCAGCAGGAAGCAAATTTAGAGCCGAGTCTTAGGAACCAATCGGACTCGGCCTTGCAGAGACGGTGGAAGGGAAATGGGAAGTGGTGCGTTCCCGACGGAGGGGTGCGAAGACAGCCGAGGAAGGGTAGGGCACTGAATGCTGGCGAGAGCCTCCCAGGAGTGTATAGGCCACACCGCGCTGCCGGAACACGAAGCGCGAGCCTGGGAGTGAGGGAGCGAGGCCAGAGGGGCGGCAGCCACCGCTCGGGGAGAGGCACGCGCGACGCCGGCCCGGGTGCTCGACCTCCGCGGTTGGCGGGCGGCGCAGCCGAGTGAGGCGGGGAGAAGGAGGCCTGGGACTCGGAGACAACCAACACTTAGCGGAGCTTCTACCCACCCGCGGGTCCCGCTTCTCTCCCGCGCTCCTCAACCAGCATTCCTGCGGCCCACCCTCCCGCGGCCACGGGAATTGCCACTGGCCTTGTTCGTCGCACCAGCTTTCTTAGGCATGTCGGCGCCCAAAGGGAGCCAGTTGACAGCCCGAGAACCACCAGATCCAGCTTCTAGCAGCCTCAGGCCGTAGCCTAGGCGCGGCATCCCGGCCAAGGAGGCGGCACGGAGAGCGGCCTGGCGCCGGAAGAGCTCTCTGCGCCTGCGCAAGCAGCAGGAGGGAGCGGCCCCGTGGGCCTGAGCCTCAGCTCGGGAAGGAGGGCGACGCCTTCCGGCTGGCGGGATCAAGACTCGTTCTTCCTGGAAAGAGCTGAAGAAATAAGGCATGGATGCTCAATTGTTAAGCCGGGTACCACTCTTCCAAGACCCCATGGACTGTAGCCCGCCAGGCTCCTTAGTCCACGCATTTTTCCAGGAAAGAATGNGGGAGGGATTGGGGGCAGGAGGAGAAGGGGACGACAGAGGACGAGATGGCTGGATTGCATCACCGACTCGATGGGCATGAGTTTGAGTAAACTCCGGGAGTTTGTGATGGACAGGGAGGCCTGGCGTGCTGCGATTCATGGGGTCGCAAAGAGTCAGACACGACTGAGCAACTGAACTGAACTGTACCTCCTGGGAAGCCACGAAGAGATACTGAGAATGGTTAAAATAATTAAAAAGAAAAAAAGTGGGAGTGGGCTATGATCCAAATGGCAGAAAACCCATTATAAATGTTTATACTGGTTCCTATTTTCTCTTTCATTTCTTTCAGGTTTTAGTGAAGTTGAATTTAAAACCTCAATGTTGTCTTAGCTTTTGCCAATGGAGAAGATGGAAAATGGATTTTTCAAGTGTACAAATTAGGCAAGAGTAATGAGCCGTGTAACTTTTGGGGCTGGGACACTATAGCACCATACTCTTTTAGGAATGATGCATTGTCTAGTTCAAGGGACACTTTTCAGGTTTTGAATCTCGATGACTGGAACAGGGAAGCAAAAAGGGGATGGTTTGGAGCAGATAGGACTTGGAAGGGAAAAGATTTGTCTGAAACATACTGCATTTGAAGATCTGGCTCTTTAATATCCTATAAGGTTGTCCATTTCCAGGTAAAGATTTTTTCTTGCAAATTAAAAGTACTACTTATGTGGGCCTAAAAGAAGGAACATTTGGTAACTCAAATAAATTGTCACAATTTGTTGGGTACATACTGGAGTAATTACACTTCAAAAAAAATAGAAAATGCTTATATTTTGCAGTAACTACAGATTGGCCAAGTATCTTTCTGGGTCGTATTGTAAAGTTTGAAAATGGTGACATGTTATTTTGGGACCCAGTAAAATATTTTCCCAATTTAATGGCTTGGGAGATAGACCTGGGTTTAAATTCGGCTTCCCACCACTTCCTGACCTTTTAAAACATGAATTTCCTTTTAAAATATTTGAAATGTTTTAAAACATTTAAAAACCTTTTAAAACAGTTCTTGGCCTGTGAAATGGGCCTTATAATAGTACTTTTCTCATATGATGTTGTGAGAAGCAAATGAGAATGTGTGTCAAGTGCTCAGTGCAGAGCCTGGTGCACGGGAGTCACTCAGGCCGCTCTTTTAATAGGAAATCGTGGTGCGACATTCCTTACCCTCTATCAGAGGAAATAACAAGAACAGTTCTCTTTCTCTCACCTGCTGAGAGCAAACAGGGGAGAAAAGCCTGAGACTGCAAAAAAACTGGTGAAGTGGCAGATGGCAGCACTTGTTTCTTTTTTTTTTTTTCTTTTTTTTTTCCATTTATTTTTATTAGTTGGAGGCTAATTACTTTACATCATTACAGTAGTTTTTGTCATACATTGAAATGAATTAGCCATGGATTTACATGTATTCCCCATCCCGGTCCCCCCTCCCACCTCCCTCTCCACCCGATCCCTCTGGGTCTTCCCAGTGCACCAGGCCCGAGCACTTGTCTCATGCACCCAACCTGGGCTGGTGATCTGTTTCACCCTAGATAATATACATGTTTCAATGCTGTTCTCTTGAAACATCCCACCCTCGCCTTCTCCCAGAGTCCACAAGTCTGTTCTATACATCTGAGTCTCTTTTTCTGTTTTGCATATAGGGTTATCGTTACCATCTTTCTAAATTCCATATATATGTGTTAGTATACTGTAATGGTCTTTATCTTTCTGGCTTACTTCGCTCTGTATAATGGGCTCCAGTTTCATCCATCTCATTAGAACTGATTCAAATGAATTCTTTTTAATGGCTGAGTAATATTCCATGGTGTATATGTACCACAGCTTCCTCATCCATTCGTCTGCTGATGGGCATCTAGGTTGCTTCCATGTCCTGGCTATTATAAACAGTGCTGCGATGAACATTGGGGTGCACGTGTCTCTTTCAGATCTGGTTTCCTCGGTGTGTATGCCCAGAAGTGGGATTGCTGGGTCATATGGCAGTTCTATTTCCAGCTTTTTAAGAAATCTCCACACTGTTTTCCATAGTGGCTGTACTAATTTGCATTCCCACCAACAGTGTAAGAGGGTTCCCTTTTCTCCACACCCTCTCCAGCATTTATTGCTTGTAGACTTTTGGATAGCAGCCATCCTGACTGGCGTGTAATGGTACCTCATTGTGGTTTTGATTTGCATTTCTCTGATAATGAGTGATGTTGAGCATCTTTTCATGTGTTTGTTAGCCATCTGTATGTCTTCCTTGGAGAAATGTCTGTTTAGTTCTTTGGCCCATTTTTTGATTGGGTCATTTATTTTTCTGGAGTTGAGCTGGAGGAGTTGCTTGTATATTTTTGAGATTAATCCTTTGTCTGTTGCTTCGTTTTCTATTATTTTCTCCCAATCTGAGGGCTGTATTTTCACCTTGCTTATAGTTTCCTTTGTTGTGCAAAAGCTTTTAAGTTTCATTAGGTCCCAGCACTTGTTTCCAGGGTAGATGTTTAAGTAAGGCGAGGTGCATTATGTCCATAAACAAAAAGAGCTTCCCAGGTGGCTCCAGTGGTAAAGAATCCGCCTGCCAATGCAGGAGAGGCAGGAAAAGTGGATTTGATCCTTGGGTCAGGAAGATCCCATGGACAGAGGAGCCTGGTGGGCTGCAATCTATGGGGTCACAAAGAGTCGGACACGACTGAGCGACTAACACACTTAAAGAAATAAAAATAAAGCTACTATAAGATATTGCAGAACCACTCCAAGGGATATTTGAGAAGAAAACATTTTGAAATGCATGTACAATCAAGCATGCACTGGACTATACTTTACAATAGCCAAAAAATGGAAATAAACATATTGTTTATGGGGAGATAAATGGATAAAGAAAAAGAGACCTATGTACTCAATGGAACATGACTCTGCCAGTAGAAAATGACATAATGTGATTTTCAGGAACATTGATAAAACTAGGGATGATCAAACAACGTGAAGAAAAATCAGAAAAAGATACATATCTTTACATATAATTTATAGCTGGAATTGATAAACACATACCAGTTTATTCACTGAAAAACATGAAGACTCAGAGACCTAGAAAACAAGCTTCTGATTATTAAGGAGAAAGCAAGTGAAAAAGGGTAAAATAGAAGATTAGAGTAAGCAAATATAATCATTCCATGTAGAACAGGTAATCATCAAAGACCTAGATATAACAAAGGATTTCTGTGAACATACTGTAATGTATGTAATGGAGTTCATACATGTATATAATGTATGTAATGGAGTTCATACATGTAATGAACTCCATGGAGAAAAATGCAAATATGAATACATATATATATATGCAAAACTGAAAACACATTCGGTTCACCTGCCACCCACAACACATTGTATATCACTGTTACTATAATATAGAATAAAGATTAATTTAAAAAAGAAAGCTAGGGAAGAACACACAAGCTTTTAGATGTTTGTTCAGGTACATTCCACATTAAATTACAGCCCTGAATGAAAACTCTCATAAAGCTTTCATTTCCAGGGTAACCTGGAAAAGTTGGGTATTAGAAAATCCAGCAGCCTTGTGACCATTCCCAGCAACAGCGACCTTAAAAGTTTTGCTTATGAGTACCATGTTGTTCAGTTGCTAAGATGTGTTCAACTCTTTGCAACCCCATGAACTGTAGTACGCCAGGCATCTCTGTCCTTCACTCTCTCCCAGAGTTTGCTCAGATTCATGTCCACTGAGTCGGTGATGCTATCTATCTCTTCTACTGCCGCCCCTTCTCCTTTTCCCTTCAGTTTTTCCCAGCATCAGGGTCTTTTCCATGAGTCAGCTCTTCACATCAAGTGGCCAAAGTAATGGAGCTTCAGCTTCAGCAACAGTCCTTCCAGTGAATATTCAGGGTTGATTTCCTTTAGGATTGACTGGTTTGATCTCCTTGCTGTCCAACGGACTCTCAAGAGTCTCCTCCAGCACCACAATTTGAAAACATTAATTCTTCGGTGCTCTGCCTTATTTATCATCCAGCTCTCACATCCGTACATGACTACCGAGAAAACTACAGCCTTGACTATATGGACCTTTGTCGGCAAAGTGATATCTTTGCTTTTTAATACACTGTCTAGGTTTCTTATAGCTTTCCTGCCAAGAAGCAATCGTCTTCTAATTTCATGGCTGCCGTCACCATCTGGAGTGATTTTAGAGCCCAGGATGAGGAAATCTGTCACTGCTTTCACCTTTTCTCCTTCTATTTGCCACGAAGTAATAGGACCAGATGCCATGATCTTTGTTGTTGTTCAGTTGCTCAGTCGTGTCTGAGTTTGTGACCCCATGGAATGTAGCACACCAGGCTTCCATGTCCTTTACC